CCGCCGCAGCTGCCGGCCGCGTCCCGGGTCCGTACGTCCCGGTGGCGGATGCCCACCCTGCTGTCCTGCATCGCATACGCTGACCTGCCTCCCGCCGGAGCCTGCTCCTCACGGCGGACGTGCGATCTCCCTGCCCAAAATTTCCACGTGGACTGGTTTAAAAAACAAAAAACAAAAACACCCTCCTGAATCATCCTGGTATTTTGCGGGATCTGATTCACTGATGGAAACCATTCAAAACACCCACCTACCTCGACTATACATATCTCAAACGCTCCCACCTCCAGGAAGCGCTGATGGGAAAGCTGCCCGAAAGATCAGCAAATGGATCTCTTAGGAAAGGAGGAAAAAAGCCTGCACGCAGAGGAAAGCGGAGAGCGGCTGGCTCGGCTCTGGCCCCCCCAGCCCACCGGGTGCCAGCGGGAGCCCCGTCGCAGGCCAAGAAAAGCCAGAGCGACAGAGGGGCTTTTCACCATTCGCACGCTGGCGTTTTCCTTGCAAACATCTCCCTTCTCCGAGCAGCAAGCACACAGAGAGGCCCAGGAGCCTGCAGACACCATTGCGTTTCTTCCTTCCCTCGAGCAAGAGCTTGGGGCATTTACATTCGATTCTAAAAATAAAATATTTTTCTTCGGGCAGTAAAATAAAACGGAGCTCCACATCCATGCAGCAAGGGAGCTGGGACAGAAACGCTGCCACATGAGGCAGCAGCAGTAGAGATGGAAGGTCCTTATGCCCCCAGCACAACCCAACAAGACTACTATCATGGAAGAGGCTGGAGGGAAGACTTGCACATCCCTCCCGCTAGCTAGCGCGGGACTGCAGACTACCATCCTTCCCAGCCTGCCACCGAGGGTCCTGCACAGGACCTAGCTCTGCACACAGCCTGGTCTCTCCTGGATGCTGCAGATCCCATGGCAGCAGCTTAACATAGAGAAACAAGGCAGGGAAGAAAGATGGGAGAAGAAGAACGCGTACACTAAAGAAAGAGGAGGCATGAAAAATCACAGCTACAGCAGATTAAGAAGGAGGGAGCAAAGCAAGAATGCAAGAAACCCTAGAGAAGTAGTGTTCAGCCTCTGCTGCTGTACTCCTCTGTGCTGCTTCTCAGGGTTTGGGGGAAGAAAACAAGAAAAGCAAGTCTGAAACGACATCAAGTCTGAAAAAGATGTCGTTTGCTATCCAAAAACTACTGCAGAAGTGCTAGGAATCAATCAAAACGGCTCAAATACTGCTCTACTGCAATTCAGGGACAGGGAGAAGCAGGAACGGAGCGATCCCAGAGGAGGTGCAAGGACACCCAAAAGCGAGGGTCTCCCCCTCTCCTCTCCGGAGGAACCGCACGCCCGCCGGCCGAGTAGCCCGAGCGCCGCTCACCTGGTGCACGCAGACGTTGCACTTGTCGCAGAAGACCATCTCGTTGCCGTCCTCGCCCTCCGGGGAGCGGCACACGTCGCACACCACGTCCTCGTCGTACTCGATGCCGAGGCCCTCCTCTGTCTCGATGGCGATGTTCATGTTCTCGTAGCACATGGTCTCCAGCTCCTCCAGCACTCTCTCCAGGGTCATCTCGTCCAGCTCCGGCTTCTCTGCAAAGCACAACAGAGGGGACAACATTCGCGTTGTACCCATGTGGGACACACACCCCGCGCCACCGCCCGCTCGCAGACCTGCCTTTGGTCTGTATTGCGCCGCAGAGGCATTTTAGACTTCGACTTAAGAGGCAAATCCATGGTGGTGGTAAGATCTGTGATTCAGAAAACAGCTGCTTCGAACTTGGGATACAGTTTACGTTTCATAGACAGCAACAAAATATTGCTGCTGGCTCAGAGAGGAGAAACCCATTGAGCTGAACCAATGCGGATAATTAGGTCTGACAGTTTAAATGTTCGAGGAGACGAGTTTTGCAAAGATGCTTTCTGCAGCGAGGGCTCAGATGAGCTTTGGCAACACAAAGTCAATGCTTTAATTGTGAAGACTGTGAAAACTGACCCTTTTAAGGCCAATTAAACGGAGCTATAAAACTGAAACCAAAGGCTGAAACTGAGGACCAACATGGTTTTTATCCTGGTTCGGTCCACTGGAGCCAAAAGGTCAGGCCCAGGGTGGGCTCGTGGCTGCTGTGTCACTTTTTATCCCGCCTGCAGCGGGGTCCTTAGTGAAAACACGCGGCAGAGATGCTTTACCAGAGGTTTATCCCAAGGGACAACCAGGGACATGAGACCAACACCAGGAGAGCAGCATGGTGTATCCCTCCGTCAGCAATACCATCACGGGGGAAAGCACGGAGGTGGGGAAGGCGATGCCATCCGAACGCAATTAAAACCACTTCATCTTTGTGCTGCAGTTGTGCATCTCGTTTCGCCTCTAACAACGGCCGGGGCGCTCCAAAACGCACCAGACCCAGCAGGGGCGTCTGACCGGTGCTGCGGGAGCACAACAGGCTGTCTACTACAGAAGAGTACCCAAGTTTTCTAAAATTAGAACGGCAGCGTCAGCTCAGCCTGCGAGAGAAGGACGCCGGCGCCCTGGACCGGCCCAGGGCGTTACTGCAAACTTGTGGTTTAGAGCTTCTCCTCCCTTCTTGCTGCAAGGCATCAGCAGACAGCAACTGATTTATAAATAGAGAAGGAAAAAAAAGCTTGAGGGAATGTTAAGATTAAGCAGTTAATAGTTAAACGAGAAATCTTCCGCTCTGGGTTTCAGCTGAGCCACGGTCCAAAGTCCCCGTCCCGGGCTAAGCTCCGGGTCCACGAGCCGCTTCCCGGGCCGTCGGCGGGCTCGCGACCTGCTCGGGGGCCCCCGCCAAA